CCTGGACGAACCCGGCCTCCAGGTAGGGGACCCCGAGTAAGCCCGACATGCATAGCTGGACTCCGCCCTGGTCGAGTCCTTTCGCCGCGTGCTCCTGTCCGGCAGATCCCTGGTGTTCAGCTTCCCATCCATGCACACCCAGGTGTCCTCGATCCCCGGCGCGGCCACCAGCCACAACGTCACCGTCGCACGCGCTTTCACGAAGCTTCTGGGCGCATTCGTCACCTTTTACAACTCCACAAGGGCGGAAGGCCTTGTGCGGGATCTGCGAAACCCCAGCCAAACCGAGGGCGTTGAAGGCACCATGGAATCGCAGATGCAGCTGGGATCGCTCCAGTATCCCCACAACCCCATGTCCTCGACGGCCGAGCACTTCCACTTCCTCTCGATTCTCGCTCACACCTATGACTCCAGCATCAAGAACATGCGCATCAACACGGACACCTACCGCTTCAGAGAGTTCATCGCTGCATTCCCTACGGAGAGGGTGCCGGGCATGCCACGGAGCGGCCACTAGATCTGGCGATTTGGCTCAGCTTTAAAAACTTGGCTGCCGACAACGAACAGGGATCATGAGCTGTATTCAAACAACTAACTATGTTTCACCGAACTTCAACAAACCAAACCTGACAACAACTCGAACAAACAAAACGAAACGAAAGACACACTGGATGGATGGACAAATGAATGAAAGGACGGTTGCATGGATGGATGGATGGATGGGGGATGCTCTGGATGTCGATGCTACCCCGCGACAGGGATCGAAAGCATCAAATCCGCCCCATTTTCGATGGTTTCCCGGCCCGAATTGTCAGTTGGAAAACAAGGGACTCTCAGAAGCTCGCAGGGACCCGCGATTTCAAGATTCCTTGGGAAAATAGAATCCGCAGGGACTCTATCCGGATTAATACACAGCGACGTGGGACCCATGCACGACGGATCTGTAATCTTCTGGTCGACGTCGGCCGCGGTTTGCCGCGCAGCCACGTCCAAGGCGAGCTGGTTCGTGACGGTTTTCAAGCCGTAGGTGGCCGCCACAGAAGCCAACACCGCGTTGTCGGCACTGGCAATAGCCGAGTTCATCGCTGCTGTTGTGCAGCTTCGGTCCACCGAAGCCGGGGTGCTCTTGCCGTCGAGCTCTGGCTGGAGAGCGTCCAAAGCCGATTGGTTGGCCTTCCCGGCCAGTCCCGTCGTCGATGACGGCGTTGGGTTCGGCTTGCGTAAACGTTTGTGCCGTGCTATAGGTCTGGCACTCTATCTGCAAGATGTCCGTGTTGTTAACCAGGGTGGCCACCAAAGGCCCCGTGAAGTGGAAGTTTCGGATCACGTTGCTGCCTTTCAGCAGCTCCCAGGTGGTGTTTCCCGCCCCAGCGGGTGCGTTCGAAAGGGTCACAGTCACCAGAGCTGCCGCTATGGTGGCGTCGGTTTGCACGGCCGTGTAGAAGACACTAAGGTCGATTCCGGCCACGGCCGGCATCCATCTGAACTGTGGTGCTGTACGGCACCAGTGCTGCTGCGATGGCGGCATCCATCTGAACGGTGCTGTATGGAACGGGCCACTGCGATTGCGCCGTCCACTTGCGCGGGAATCGCAGGTCAGAGACACAGTGAAACTGTCGTTCTGCACTAGTAGGTCCCAGGTGATCTGTCCGGGCCAGGCTTGCGCGTTGATCAAGTTGTTCCCGCCGCCCGTGTTGAGGAGAGCCAGCTGGGCAAGAATGGCATCGATGGCCGACTGCAGCTGGTCTCTGTCGGTGAGGTCCGCGCTGGTGGCGTAGTTCGCCAGGTCCCCGGTGGTGGCGTAGCCGACTATCTTTTGGTCCACGTCGGCCGACGTGGTTCTCAAAGCCACCGTGGCGTTGAGGCTGGAAGTGTCGGTGTAAGGCAGCAAGGCCGTGGCTATCTTTTGGTCCACGTCGGCCGGGGTGGTCCTCAAGGCACGGCGGCACTGAGGCCGGAGGCGTCGGTGTAGGGCAGCAAGGCCGTGGCTATCTTTTGGTCCACGTCCGCCGGAGTGGTCCTCAAAGCCACGGCGGCGCTGAGGCCGGAGGTGTCGGTGTAGGGCAGCAACCAGATCATTTTCCAAACGGAGTGGGNNTGCCTGTGGCATGGAAGTCCGTTGTCGCAAACGCAAGACTACGTACTTGTCGTACGGCCAGCTGCTGAAACTAGGAACGTAACAGACACTGGAAGACTGCAGGCGACAAGAACAGTCAAGACTGTTGCGACAAGAAAAGCTACAGGTGCTTTAGCACGCGGGGAGAAAGGGGAGAGGGTGGGAATGGCGCCAAGCTAGTGCCCGACTAGCGTCCGAACAGTGCCTGAAAAGGAAACAGTGCCAAATGAACCCTTCATAGTGCCCAAACGATTCTTTTTTTCAAAAAGAAAGATGTTGCTTTTTCTCCACAAAGGAAATGTAGTTGAGCACCATGACGGGTTCATTCGAGCACCATTTCGGGCACTAATTCTGGACTACGCGCCTCTCTCTGGGGAGGGTGTTCCAGCGCTCCACTCTATGATAGCTGCAGGCCTAGGTTCGAGACATAGGTCAGAATTCGGTACTTTGGAGCACTATCGATTCGCGGGCCTGCGGCCCGCAGCTCGAGCGATCTTAGGGGCTGTAAAGTGCTTGCAAAACGGGATTTAGAAGGGCTTTAGGGCGCGCTACTTGCCAGCAGCTTACGAGCTGCAGCCCGGCAGCTTACGAGCTGCAGCCCGAGCTGCAGCCCAGCAGCTCACGAGCGACAGTCCGGCAGCTTACGAGCTACAGTCCAGGCAGCTTGTGAGCTAGCAGCCTGCGAGCTACTTTCGAGCAGCTCACGAGCGACAGCCCGGCAGCTTACGAGCTGCAGCCCAGCAGCCACCGAACGAGCTTCCGAGCAGCTTACCAGACTGCCGTCCGAGCAGCTTACCGAACGAGCTTCCGAGCAAGCTCCCAGTTCGATGCCCGGCAGGCTTCGATCCTTGGCAGGCTCGTGACTCGGAGTTGTTGTGTCTGGCATACCAACCGAAAATCAGGACGGTTCACCGAAAATTTCGCGACTTAACACCGCAAATTTCGGCCACTATGGCCTCGTCCCCAAGCAGCTCCGAGCGCGACGGCTCGCCCCAAAACAGCTCGCGAACCCGCCAATTCAAACCTGCGGCCACCACGTT